ATTTAAGGTGGTTCTGACAAGTGTCGTCGGCATCTTCATATCCGGTGTCACATGGGCGGCAAGCCACTCCCATCTGGTCACATTGGTGGCAAGCCACTCCCACAAAGGAGGCCACGCCCACAGAGTAGGTCCGAACAATTTTTGAAACCCACCACTGGGCAGTACCATAACAAGCAAGGGAAGAATCATTCTGTTTGTTGCTGGTAAGTACAAATCTCTCTTATCAACTGCGTTTTACAATGATATCTGAATATCTTCAATTATTATCAGAACTATTGAAGGTGGACATTAATTCACAATTGCCTGAATTTCACAACACATTCTTCTGAGTCGAATATACTCATAAACAGGCATGTTATGTTAGGATCTGAATTCTGAAACCTTCACAGTTTCATCTGTATTATTCACTGTATTGTAAGCACCTGCAGCGATATAAAATGCTAGAGAAGCCTATTATCTAGGAAGAATCCAGAAAATTATAGCAGTCAAAGTCAATTTACCCTCTTCTCCATGAATCTCTTTCACAATGGCTTGAATTGGTTCATACTGCTCGCTTTTGAGGTACAAGCGCGGAAGGGGAAACATATTTTCAGCTGCAAGGAAAGGAAGATTTGATCAGTCTTCGCACACCCACTTATTTTTTTTGTTGTTGCCTGCATTTATTTCCAGTGCTAAAGCTTGCTAGGAAAAATAGAAATAGGTATAGAAATTTGATAAATACATAAATAAAGCTGGCCAGTAAACTAATTCTACTAGGCAAAGAGACAGTGTCTAGGTGGAAATAAGAACTTGGCATATCTTTGGTACACTTTGATCTAATGCAGCTTAGAATTTAATTAGTCCTGGTGTCTGCTATCAGTGATCACTGACAATGTCATTTCTAAGACATCTTGGAAAATGAGCTACCTTTTTTTCTCCTTAAAGATAATATTTCACATTTTTCCTTATTGAAAGACATCTAATTCTCAACCAGCTCTTCAACCTGCCCCGAATAGATCGCAATCTCATTCGGTCATCCTGGCTGTTGGTCAGACCTCTCAACTGTGTATCATCCGCACATTTGATAAGTAGCCCATCAGCTCCATTATCCAACTAATAAATCCAAATGTTGAAAGATATTGGACAAAAGTGAAATCTCTGCAGGACCCACTGTTCAACCCAACCTGATATAGAACAATTAGTTCGGATTCTTCTACTGCAATTAGACAGCTAGTCATAGGCACATTTTACTATAATGCTTTACAAACCACATTGTTAAAGTTTATAAATGAGAATATCAACTTCAAATGGAAAAAAAGAGTTGGTATCCTGGTACAAAACCCTTGGAAAGCTAAACAATAATAAAAAGTGATGCATTTGGCAATTGACATTTTCAAATTTCAAATGGGGAGGTAAGGGAGCAAGATGAGCCCGCTACTCATGATATAATACCACAACTGGATTGTGATAGTTCCTGGATTGTTCTTGGGTCAATGGCATCATAGACACCCACAAAGACACTCTATCTCAAGCTGAGACTGTTAAGAGAGAAGTAGCAGCATAATACTGCCTTGCATTCCAAGAAGGGCCTTATTGAAGTAGCTGATTGGCTCTCCTTGTCTTTCTGGATCTTCCTATGGCAGCAGTCTGTTGCCAGGGCTGTGAAAATAGCTGTTATGCCAAAGTGGAGCTTGGAAGACAATAGAGGGATTCATTTTTAATTTTTCCCACAATTTCAATATTACCATAAGAGCCCATCTCTAGGCAGTTCGCAAATCAAGTAATAAAGATCAATAAGCACAAAACATAATTCTAAGAGAAAGCACAATTGAATGTAGTCCATTGCTGATAAGAAAATAATAGATGTTAATCAGAAATAGCTTGTCAGAAAAAAATGATTTGGGGAGACAATAAGATCTTGAGGAAACTTATTTCACAGATTCAATACCCTTCCTTCCTTCCTTCCTTCCTTCCTTCCTTCCTTCCTTCCTCCCTCCCTCCCTCCCTCCCTCCCTCCCTCCTTTCTTTCTTTCTTAAATTTATTAGCCACCCATCTTACCATAGGATAACTCTAAGTGGCTTACAATCATAAGCTAAAGAGCAACATTGCTTTTAGGTCTTTACCTCCACCTTCCATAGTGAGGGTAGCACAGCAGCCTCTTGAGTAGAGCAGCCAGATCAGCCAGAGTCAAGCTGGAGGAGGTGGCCTTTAGAGTTCCAGACTGATACACTGAGTTATACTTGGGCACTACTCAAAGCCACTTCAGAACTAGCAAAATAGATGTGATATTGCTGAATGTGTGTGTACCCAATGGCATGTAGAGTGCTGCAGGTAAAGGTGAATTTTTCCCTGTGCAGTCATGTCCAATTCTAGGGCACAGTGCTCATCTCCATTTCGTGGCTGAGGGAGCAGCGTTGTCCAAAGACATTTTCTCTGTTCATATGGTCAGCATGGCTATACACCAAAGACACATGGAACACTTTGACTGGTACTGAAGTGGTACCTATTAATCTACTCACATTTGCATGCTTTTGAATTGCTAGGTGGGCAGGAGCTGGGGCAAATCTGCATTTTGAGACTGCTGAGAGTCTGCATTTTGCATCAATTTCAATTTCTGGGTGATCTTCAAAGGGCAGCCCTAGGCATAAGTGATGAGATCTTGTAACTGCTGTAGAGTAACTCCCACTCCTGTATCTGTATCCCTTTGGCTACATTTTCTACCTTCTGATGTAAGTGGAACAGCAAATCCAAGAGGACTTACGAATTGAAGACCTGCTGTTACAGAGTACACCAAAAATAGCAGAGTAGCCATAGAACCACCATAAGGTTGCTAGGCAAATGTCAACTGCAACTGTCAACTGATGAATGACTCTCTCAGTAGCGTCATGTAAGGATTCAAATGTGTGGGAGAGATTACTGAGGTCTACAGCAGGCCTGAGTTGATTGATTGATTGATTGATTGTCGATTGATTGATTTTAAGCTGATATGCCACCAACTCTGTCATGATGGCTTACAACAGGATTAAAAGTTTCATAGTATAACAAACATAACAACACTAAAACAAACATCCAAAGTAAGTCTAAAATAACTTTAGCATTACAATCTTAAATTATCCATGGTAAGAATTTTAAAAACTCTAATCTCATAATACATTAAAGCAGTTATAATCCTCTTCAGTACAGTTATCACACATAAGTAAAAGAAAAACCACACAATTAAGAATGAGCCAAGGAAGACAACATTAAACCACCCAAGGTCTTCTGGAACAATACAGTTTTTAGTACCTTTTTTGAGGTAAATCCAACACACAAAGGGAGGCCGTTGTATAATATTGGACTGGTGGTCAGTTATAATTGGAGAATGCAATCCCAAGGTACCTTGGCACCAAGTTGTAAAGGGCCTTATAGGTCAAACTCAACATTTAAATTGCACGTGAAATGTATTACAGTGCTGGTCTTTAAGCACAAGGAACATATGCTTTAGGTGATTGACACCTTTCACCACACAGACTGCTCAGTTTGTACCCATTGCAATTTCCAATTTATCTTTAAAAGTAGCTCTACTTAGAGTACATTGTGGTAGATGTATTTACTCCATTTAATCCACAACCATTGAAGGAGCTACTGCAAAGCAGTGTGTCCCCAACAACTGACTCATGTAGGTGGTCTGGAAGGATACTAAGACTATGGCATTAAAACCAACTAAAGGAACTGAACTCCAATCATCCAAATCTCAATAGATGTCATGTACTAGAACAACTAATATTATTTTCATACCATGCTTTGTGAATCTTGAATGAAGGGAACCAGATAATCAGCTGTATCTAAGATCCTTAGTAGCGCAAACCCCATCAACCTTCTACAAAACCTTCTCCAATAAGGGAAGATTTGTCACTAGGCAGAAATGGTCTAACATGGTGGGTCCCTCACTTTCATCTTGGCTGCCAGGAAGAACAGTTTTCAGCCCACAAGTGGCAGGACTGACTTGTCAAGAACCCTGTTCAAGTTCTCAAACTTCTCAAATACCTAAAGAATCCATGAAAAACCATCTGATTTTGGCTCAGTTTTTTGGGTCAGGAAAAAAGATGCCAGCAATTTAACCTCTTTTTAAAAGTAATGTAATGTAATGTAATGTAATGTAATGTAATATAATATAATATAATATAATATAATAT